GGAGGTACTTCAAAGTTGCAGTGCTGCGTGGGGCCAGACCCCAGGGTCCACGTGGCGCTGCTACTTTGAAATTCTGCATGCAGCTTGGGACCACCTGGGGTGTCCCCAGGCTGCACACAGCGTTTCAAAGTGGCAGCACCATGTGGAGCCTGGGGTCCGCGGGGGAGTCCCTAGCTGATCCCAAGCTCCATGTGGCGCTGCCACTTTTAAATGCCACGAGGAGCCTGACACTGGGATCCCTGTGGCGTTTCAAAGCAGCAGTGTCACATGGGGCCCAGGGTCAGCAGGGCAGTCCCAAGCTGACCCCGGGTTCCATGTGGCACTTTCACCTTTAAAGTGTAGCAACAATATCGACTAATTGATTAGTCAGTTAACTGCAATTTAATATCCCTAGTCCGCTTGTTCGTTGGACCCCCTCAAAGAACTCTAGTAGATTAGTAAGGCATGATTTCCCTTTACAGAAATCATGTGAACTTTCCCCCAACAAATTATGTTCAACCATGTGTCTGACAATTTTATTTTTTACTATAGTTTCAACTAATTTGCCTGGTATTGATATTAGACTTACTGATCTGTAATTGCCAGGATCGCCTCTACTGCCCTTTTTAAATATTGGCATCATACTAGCTGTCTTCCACTCATTAGGTACAGAAGCTGTTTTGAAGGATAGGTTACAAACCACAATTAATAGTCCCACAATTTCACATTTGAGTTCTTTCAGAATTCTTGGGTGAATGCCAACAAGTAACAGGAACTTGTTACTGTTAACTTTATCAATTTGTTCCAAAACTTCCTCTAATGACACCGCAGTCTGGGACAATTCTTCAGATTTGTCACCTCAGAAGAATAGCTCACGTTTGGGAATCTCCCTAACATCCTCAGCCGTAAAGACCGAAGCAAAAAATTAATTCTCTTCCCCTTATTCTTAATACTAAGGACATTTGGATAAAAATGCATCTTTATGTGTATTCTGAAAACTAACCATACAAATACGATTGTGTGGTTCCCTGTGTGTATATATTTCTCACTGATTCTAGGTGAGCTAGTTTGACAGTGAAGGGACATACAAGTATCTAGAGATACAAATGGATTGATCAAATTTGTTCTATTTACAAGTACTATAACATCTCACACTTAATAGTGCTTTTCTAATTGCCTGTCCTGCAGACTCACTTTGGGATCTGAAGTTAAGCTGGATCCTTTCCTGCTCACACATTATTGCCAGTAATAAAGTTTCTGCCAGCCAAATGATGCTTTCATTTACACCTGTGGAATCTCATTAGCCAGCTGGCAGCTGGAATAAAAGTTGCATTTAGACTGAGTATATTTGATAATGAATTGGTGAGAAAATAAGTTCAGACTCCATGGTGTATTTTAGTGTAAAAGTGCTCTGTAACAATTCAACCATACTTGTTTTTCTTCTCCTCTTCTTTGACATCAAAGCTATCTTCTGTAGAGAAGATGGTCATAAATACTGGGATGGATGTGTTTTCTCCCCCACCCCCATGCTTAATGAAAATTGGCTTATGAATAAGATTATGCATAACTCAAAGATACTTTAGGCAAAATACCTCATGTGACATATCAATTTTAATGTTACACTCTGCTGAATGTGTATATCTTATTTTTGTCCATGTATCATTCTTGTATGTGAAGTTAGAAAGATGAAGTGTGAATCTGCTTATAATTCTGAATGTTCTAATGGCCATTACTGATGCTTAGAAAATTTAATGGCTCAATGATCAAGTTAATGACCTGTGAATAGTCTTGTTTGTCCAATAAGCCCAAATAGTGATTGGTCCTAGGAGAGGGGTGGGCAATAATTTTTACAGGGGGTTCTCTTACTGAATTTTTATATGTGGTCATGGTCTGGGGACTAGCCTCCCCCCAGAGTTCTCAGGGGCTTTGAATTAAAAACACTGCAAAGGACTCGCAGCTCCCGGCCCAACCACACTCACATTGCCTGGCAGCCACCTGGGTGGCTGCAGGTATTTAAAGGGATCGCGGCTCCAGCCTCTGCAGGGTAGCCCCATGACTGGGAGCCAGGAGCCATTTAAATGGGTTCCTGCTGTCTGAGCCACCACCTGGAAATTGGTTGGTGCAGGGAGCAGGTTATAAATAGAAAATGGCCAGATGCAGTCTGTGGGTCAGATCAAAGTGTTATGCGGGCCACATTCGGCCCTTCAGCCGCGTCTTGCCCAGCCCTGTTTTAGAAGGACATGTTGCCAGGCTACCTGATACTGAAACCCATTTTGGATCTGGTTCTTGTCCACTTGAGACAAGAAAAGTTTGTACTGAGCTCAAAGAGTTCCCACCTTGGGCAAAAGGTATCTATGGGAGGGGAACCAAACAATGGGGAGTCGCCAGTTGCTTCCCTCTTACCACCTAAGATGCCTGCTGGAAATATCTAAGAGTGAATAAGGGGAATGATAAGACTCAAGCTGGGAGGCTGCTTAGCTTGTGAAAGGGATCAACTGTTTAGGGTGAGCATTCACATGAAACAAGTTTCTTAGTATAATTAAATTAGCTGGCTTTTTTTTGTTTGTTTTTAACTTAGTAACTTACTTAAGTTGCACTGTGTTCACTTGCAACCACTTAAATCCTCCATTTTGTACTGAATAAAAACACTATTGTTTATTACCAAGTGCAGGGTAAATAATTGTTACCTGGGGAGGCAGAGTACCCAGTGTGTATAACTTTCATTAATAAAGAGGGCTGACCGGACCTTATAACTGGGGCTTTGGTCCCTTTTGGGGGTAACTTTCCTGGGACCTGAGCTCTTATAACTGAACCCTCCCAGAGCTGAACTGGTTCAGCGTCTGTGCTGCTCTGCAGGGGGATGGTAACCCCAACTCTGTGCATTGGCTGGGGAACACCAGAGCTTCTGCCAGCAAGACAGAGTGGAGGGAAGCCCCAGAAGGCAGGATGTCAGTGTCTTGATAAGCACGCTAGGGGTGTGTCTAGACTACAAGCTTTTGTCAACAAAAGTGGAGTTGTGTCAACTAAACTATACCTGAGTCTACACTACCGCCAAGTTCTGTCGACATAACGTTGACAGAACTCGGAAGTTTTGTCGACGCCGGTAAACCTCATTCTGTGAGGAATAACACCTTTTGTCGACAGAGTTCTGTTGACAGAACGTGTTATTGGATCTAGACTGTCCTTTGCATCTACACTCTCACGTCAACAAAGCGGCTTGCTTTGTGGACAGAACTGTATGTAGTCTAGATGCTCTTTGTCAACAGAAGTTTTATCGACAGTATCTTTCGACAAAAGCCTGTAGTCTAGACGTACCTTAGGGGACAACCCCAAAGGGATTTCTGTGAACTATCCTGTCACAGGATGACCAGTAAAAAGGCATAGGGAAATAATCAACTCAGGATAAGAGAAATCCATCCTCTACCGCTGCTAAAACCTGTGATCAGAGATACCTGGTGTTTATGGAAGCCACTAGAATAGCTGTAACTGGCCAAGCTCATCAGAGGCCAGATTCCTGTTTGTGTTCTGGCCCTTTTGTGCTGTCTGGGAAGTGCAAAGGAGTCAAGGCAACCAGATCTGGCCCACTGAGTATTCCCTTGATGAACCAAAGTTCTCTTAGCTGAGGCAAACCAGAATACCTAAGCCCGTGGTCCCCAACACGGTGCCCGCGGGTGCCATGGCGCCCGCGGGGGCATTTCAATGCGCCCGCCAGGTGCTCGGGGCTGGCATGGCCCCGGGCACATGGCGTACGGGCGCTTGCGGGGGGAGCGCGCTTGGTGGGGAGAATGCC